GCTTCCTCAGGAGAACACCTGCTGGCAACAGAGCCAGACAGCCACGACCACAATGTGGATGAGCACTCTGGGCAGTAAGTAACACCGCTCAGATTCTGTCAGGTTCATTGTGAAGAAAGGACAAGGTTGTAGAAAAATTTAAATGTTGTTTGGACTCCTCAGTGTGTGCAGTCTATCCAAATATCTAAGCTCACTTTAACACCTTCATTCCCATGTTGCTCTAAAATTCCACCTTGATATTACTTTTAGACCTCAGAGACGAGGGCTGCTGCGATTAGTCACCATACTCAACGATGTCGACGTCTATATTTTATGCTGACGAATTGTTTCCCATACATACATTAATTTATTTGTGCGGCCACAGTCACTATCAACTGCCATATATTTATTTTCTAAATCATCTATGGTCAAATTGCTTCTCTGTCCTCTGGCCTGCTCTCTCTGCTCTCTGGGAGAGGCGGAGCTGCAGGTACACAGTGCACGCGCGCGCACACACACACACACACACACACACACACACACACACACGGAGCAAACAGCACGGCAGAGGCTGTGCCAGGCAGAACCAGGTGACGTAAAGATAACTGAGGATTACTGGAGGTGACAACAACTATGACTGAGCTTTACATTATTGTAAGTGCAATAAAAAGTAAAAGGCCAATAAGAACTTTATCCAACCACCTGTTCAACAAGCAACAAACAGGAAAGAGATATTTTCATCTGTTATCTCTGGTGACTTTTACACAACAGCATCACGCTGGTTAAGCTAATAGTGAACTGTAAGGAAACGCTACAATGAAAGCTGTCTGTAACTGATTATCTTAGTTCACCACGAATCATAAAATGTGTCAGATTGTTGTAAGCTGAGCAACTTGCTGAAACAAACCAGAACAGTCAATTCAAATCCTGTTCAGAATTTATTATTTTAAAAAAAGAACCAGTAATAGTCTGAGCTGGATCATGGATAAGATAAAGATCAAATCAGCTGGTTAATGTCTGACTTTGGGAGGATGAGCACATTACAGTTCAAATCCTTTCACTCTAAATCTTGTTTAACCAGTGTTATTTTGTGATTATTATTTTTTATGGCGCTCAGTGAGATCAGTCACAAACATGTGAAGGATTACTTCACGTGTAAGTGTCTGTTCATTAGTAGACGGAGCTTTTTAATATCTTTTGTCCTTGTAGCTGATAAATACTCTCATAAAGTCATAAAGTTGTCTGCTGCTGCCTGAGAAATTACACAGAATAAGTGTTTGAGAAAATGTTTAGGCCTGAATCTGGGCATATGTATCATGCCAAAGTGTCATTTAGATTTTCTGGAGGAAAATTAATCTTTTAGGTTAATCGACTAATCGATAAAATACTCGATAGATTAATCGTTAGAAAAATAGTTGTTGGTGGCAGCCCTATCAGAGACGTCAGAGAGGAGGCATGGTGCATGATATCGATGTGTTTTCCACACTGTTGTTCTCTGACTGCTTCCCTTTAACTGACTCTTATTTCAGTGTTAGGAAGAGACACCGTGAGGAGAGGATTGCCAGCACCGCACAGAAGGTCCAGCAGATGAAACAGAGACTGACCGACTCAGAGAGGAAACGAGAGAAGTGGCTGTACTGGAGGCCCGTCCTGCTCAACGTTGGTGCCGGGGCGGCGCTGGCTGTCGGCCTGCTGGTGTGCTGGATGTACTCCCAGTGATACACTCTGGGTCACTTACAACTGACTCTTACTTTGCACCAGTACCTGGGGTTAGGTACTTCTCTAAGCAGATTTAGATAAGATGTGCATAACTGTGAGGGTATTTATTTCTTAAAGGTCAAAATGCGGGAGCGCTAGATCAAATGAGTGTGTGTATATTTTTCATGTAAGATCTTAACAAAAATAGTAACATCTCAGGATCTTGGTGCCAGCACGATGATTTAATTTCCCTATCCTACTTGTCACTGTTGATGAATGTACTGTATCATAGCAAATGGCTTTGAAAGAAACTTACTAAAGGTGCAGTACAAAGAAAAAAAAAAAATTCTGACAGGTTTATTTTTGCATTCTTTATTTGTAATGGTCAGATGTGTGTTGATCATCTGTGGACATGTTTTACATTTTGCATTTCAAAATGATGTGTGTTGACTGTCCATCCTACCATAGATATGTAGGAAGATTCCACACCCTTGAGGTCAGCTATGGGATTATTTTTTGTTTGTTTTTCTGTAATGAAATTTGCATTTCATGCATGCATTTAAGGTTTACCAGAGCACCACTTGTTCTTCCATTCACATTTAGCAGGGCATCCCAATATGTTTCAAACTCTGCTGGAATGTTAACCTTTAAATTTCTGTTAAATGAGCACATTTTTTCCATAAGTTTTGACTGTCACATGGATCATAGTGGCTGTCGGGTCCCTCACAGCTTAATGTGTTTATTCACCCACTGGATGGGTTCATGTGTGTTCAGGTTATCCCACTTTAGGAAACCAAAGCAAAGCTGTCCATTTTTATTCAAATACCAGCCAGGAAAGCTGTTTAAATTGTACTCCCTTTATGTGGAATGTATTTTCTGTTGGAGCTTAGACATAACTGAATTACAAAATGATACAAGTCATACAACTTTGCGTTGCATGTGACTTTTTAATTTAAACCCATAGTATCACCAAAATTGGTTTTCAATGGACTGGGACCAATCTAAAGCTATAATAGTGCAATTTAGAAGTTGGAGCAGAGCACCTGGAGTGATAGCAAACATGTCTGTACCCGTTTGTTTGCTGGTTTGAGATAGCTTTAATGTGCCTTGAAGTGAGTTCAATGGAAAAATGTGTGCTCCAAGGTTTCCTAACATGAACAGTACAGAAAAAGGTTCATGTGAGCTGTTGTTTCCCACAGTACATGAGTAACATGACTGATCAATTTGTTGTAAGCAGAGATGTGGTACAATAAATTGTATCAGAGTTGATTGCACACCAAATGTGACATTTGCATGTACTGACTGAATGTCCTGAGATGAAATGACATGTTAGTGACTGGCTGGTTACCACTGTTGGACAGGCTTTTACTCATTTAACCCAGAAATGATAGGCTATGTTTGACCATAACATTCCATTCATTCTTGTTTCCACATAAGATTTCAGGGGAGTTTTATACATTGCTGAGCTGCAGTGAGAACATGATAGATGGTGTTTTGAAAAAAGCAAACAAAACATGAAATACTGACTAAAATAAAACATTCATCTTTTTTTTTACTTAACCCTGCTTGTCTGCTTGTATTTTTTTTAAATTCAGTGTCACTAGAGCAGATTTAGTGTCCAGTCACAGCCAGACTGGAGGTTGTGGATTCCAGGAATTCATTCAGTATTTCAAGAACAGTCTTGTTCATATTGACTACCTCAGTAATTTTATTTAACTCTTGTCATTAGTGTATGGGGAGGAAGAAATACCTGTTGATTGAGGCTCTCCGCTAGAATATGTTTTCCACACTGCATTTAGCATGGGGTTGACAGCTCCTTTAGCCCCAGGCAACAAAAGCTCTCACAATGGCGCAGTCCAAACCCTGACTTTAGCCTGGGGCTTGCTGATGCTGCTCTGGAGTAGGACTAGCCCAGAGTTTGCTGGGTTATCCCCTTAAAATCGACTAAACACGTGGCTAAACAGTGCCAGTGTCAAATGGAGTTACAGTATATAATGGACGTGTTATTCTAAAATGTGAACATTAGTTCCAACAGACATTAACCCAGGGCTAGGAGAACTGCACTGTGAATCTTATAGGTCTGGGTTAAGTATTGCAGCTTAAAACTTAAATGTCAAATGCTATTTTCGTTTTCAATTTCCGATTGTCATACATTTGCATTTTTATTTTCATTTTGATCCCAGAAGAGCGTAGTGACATGTAAATGAAAATGCAATAGATGTTTTGCATATTGCATTTAAATATTTTCCACTGTAGAGCAGTGAAAACTGTGCTGCAGGGTATGACTTTTAAAATTAAATGTCAAACAGCTTTTCCATTTTCATATAACAGAATGACTTAATATAACAGAATGACTGTACAAGTATGTGAAAATGAAAATGCAAATTGTTGGTTTATTGCATTAATTTACATTTTTACGCAACTAACACATACATACGGTATGTAGAAAATTATAATGCTATTGTGGGAGTACATTATCATTTGAATATAGTCCCCTAAAGTCTTCCTTATTAGGTTACCCCTACTAAGAATATGCAGTGAGTATCTTTGTTGAAAAATAACAATGCCGATTTTTTTGTCTTGCCTGAGTACTAAAGCAAGAATAATCATACAAATGTTATATATTTATTTAAGAATGGGAGAAAAAAAATCTAAACTGTCTTTATAGTACAATACTGGTTGACTGGTTACATTAGAGCCGCTGCTCCTTCACGTCCAAAAGGAGCGAGCTGAGTTGGTTCGGGCATGTGATTAGAAAGTCTGCGCGGCGCCTCCTACTGGAGATCTTCTGGGCTCGTACAACTGGTGGGAGACCCCGGGTGTAGACCCAGAACACGCTGAAGAGGTTATACATGTTATCTGGTCTGGGAACGCCTCGGTGTCCCGCAGGAAAATGTCACTGGGGAGAGGGTCGTCTGGGGTACTTCACTTTACCTGCTGCCACCACGACCCCGGATTGAGCAGTTGAAAATAATTGGATGGATGGTTCAGTGTCTATAGATACAAACTCCGAATTGAACTACAAAAGGGTCCTTTACTGATTGTCGCAAATCGAATGTTGTTGCAGACGGTAATAAGGGTAGCCAAGTCAATCCCTGAATAAAAATAGCAAATATTTTTTCAACCAGAATTAAATAAAACTAAGATGAATGTCTCCTAAATTGGAAGTATCTCATTAGTGAACATCCACTCGACGTTTGTTATTTTGTTGTGGGGCAGGCTTGTTGAGGAACTGGATTTTGTCCAGACGTTATCAGGCAGCAGAACAGTCGTATTCATGCTCGCTTTTCCGCCACAGTTTAAACTGGCAGTTGTGTTGTGACTGTCAGGATGAAGGATTTGCTGTGTGACAAACGACTAACGTATACAAAGATCAAATATAGCGAAAATAAGACAAACGTAGCTGTTTATTGTTCCTGATAGCACCATATCGCCAGCTGGTTGGGTTTAAAGCTGGTCAGAGGTCGTCAGCTACAATGTCTCTGCCTCCAGAGAAAGCCTCCGAGCTGAAGCAAATCATTCACAACCATCTGCTCAAGGTGAGCAAACTACAAAACGCTAGCTTATATTTCTGTACATGTCTGCGTTATTAAACAGAATGTCAATTCTTTAATTGTTTAAATGTCTAAATGTGGAGACCGGTCTGCCTAAAGCGAAGTTTCTCTTTGACTATTAACAAAAGCTCACACACTTTGAGTCATAATAAATGGCACCACTAAACTTCGTCCTTTAATAAGTCGGCTGTACTAAATATGAGTTTAGTATATATTAGTTGTTATTTCCACACCAGTGCTACACCGCATCCTACCATGAACTGTATATAAAAAGCATCTTGTTGTAAGGACCTAGCTGTGCAGGCTGACTGCTCTCTGACATTTACAGTGTCAAGAGGTCCCCAGATGGGACAAATCAAAAGAAACGTAGTAGTAGAGAAGCTCCGATATATAATTGGCCAGTATGAGAATTACAAAACAATATATTATTGGTCGAGGTAGATTTTTTCCAGTATTCGGCTCATTATGGAACAGTTATTTGTGTTTGTTTTAATCAAATTATTTCTCTCTGAAACAGGGTTGAAGATTTAATAGAAATATTATCAAAATCGCAATATGGTAAAGTGCAATATTCCATTCGCAAGAACTGCATTTTTTTGATAAAGGTAAAATGTGTCACAGCATACCATAAAAGAAGGATTGTGGTGTACAGAGATGCTCCGACCTATAAATCATATTCTCCACACATAATGAACATATTTGTTTGGTAGGAGACCCACCAAAAATTTTATTTTCTGATATCCTATAATTTGTCAGTGGTGGGTCAGTTTCACCGATTATGAATTTGCTATGCTGCAGAAAGCCAATTTTAAAGAGGGTAATCAGATCCCATTACGGCAGGTGATAATTATAAAGCCTTCATAGCTAAAATCTAAAATGCATCTTTGTGACTTTTGTTTGAGCAGCATGAATGGAAAAGTGGTTTAAATTCAGTTTTCTGTGGTTGACAGATGGATATCCATGGGAAAATCCGAGAGGTGCTGGCTGAGACTGTGAGGGATGATCAAGGCCCAGCACATCGATCTCTGTCGGAGGCAGATTTTCTCCGTGCTTTGCAGTGCAGGGGTATCATAGACGATGTGATGAAGGACCTACACTTTACCCAGGTTGACCAGCCATTTTGCAGGCCTTTTTACAGATTTACCATCTCGATGATCAAGTGATTCAAAATTGAAACAGAGCTCTCCCAGCTGAATGTCAAAAGCAAATACTCGAATATATTCATTGTTGTAATACTAATTTGAACCTAGATCCAGATAACCGTTTGTCCAGTGTATGAAATCAATCACCTGCTGACTGTTCTGTACTTCTGTCATGTTGGACAGGGAGCAGCCACAGACGCAGAAACAGGATCTCCTCCAAAGCCTGCTACTCACTTTGTTGACAAAGATATTACTCATCTGAAGAAATGTAAGAAACATCATTTACTAACACAAACACACCAACATAATAACATGTACTATTTTCTTTCAGTAAAGATATCCTTGTTACTTGTAGGCAGCAAAAATACCTGCAAAGAGGCAAGAGCGCTTTGATGATTCTGCAGCACAGACTTTACTGTACTAAAAGCTGATGTTTTGACATTAGCCTGCCTGCTTCAGAGATAAAGAGCAAGACAAATTACATCATATGTAAGACTAAACAGCAAAACTTCATATGGGTGGACATAAATAATGCAAATATATAAAAGTATATCAACTAGACAAATAGTCCTTGTTGTATAATGTACAATTAAGAAAGAAAATTCAGAATATCCTACCAAAGAGACTTTGCGATCAAAATGGCGTAATATGAAATATAAATGAGAGGAATAACATCATCAAAAAGACTGTCTCTAACCCTGATTATATGAAAATATAAACACTTATAGCAGGGATACTAAAGTAGCAGTAGGCTTGGGCTGATATTTGCTAATCGAGTATTACGATATTTCCATTCATAAACAATATTTTTATAATATCAAATTATTGTTATCATTATTATTATTATTATAGTCTGCCCTTCTGCAGAGTCTGACCCTCATATCACTGCTTTGCTTACTATACAGTATACCTTGGCTTGGGACAAATAAGATTTATGAGCCTTGCTTATACCCGAAACATAAAATATGATGACATAATTATATATTATTACAAAAAAAACAGACAACTGAAACACCCACCATGATAATATTCTACATTTTGGGCTGGACTGTATCGAGATTTTGGATATTTCCCAATCTGAAGCCTAAGTGGCATATGACAAAAAATATTAAGTGCCAAATATTAAAGGTTCAATATAAAGTATGCAGTATTAATCTATGAAACTACTTTTGTACATTTGTATTCTGTACATGCACCCACAGTGGGTTTTGCTGTTTCTATTGAAGTGAGTTCCTGTCACTCAGTATGTTAACCTTTTCTATTACTGTGATGGTTTCTTTGTGGGAAATCTACCCCAGATTATACTGTTTACTGTATATGAATAGGTATATATGAGCTGTGCTGTTATATATTATATACACACAGACTGTCTTTATATATGATGTGATTTGATTTGTTCAGCTTATGGAACAAAGTCTGTGGTGGATAAGTGTCAGAGTGGTCCAGCCTCTAGTATTTTTGCGTGTTCACCACTCACAGTTATTAAGAAGCCTTGTACAGTTGGCACACCTCCCTATAGTTTTGAGCGTGTTTACTACAAAATAGATTAATATCCTTGTCAATGTTTGAACAGTTCTCTGAAGACATTCTTTTCTTTCTCTCAGCCAATATTGACCCATCGAGGCGGTGCCTGTATCTGCAAGTGCTTGGAGGTAAGGCCTTTCTGGAGCACCTCCAGGAGCCGGAGCCTTTACCTGGTCAGGTGTGCTCCACGTTCACACTCTACTTGCACTTCCGCAACCAGAGGTTTCGCTCAAAGCCAGTGCCCTGTGCCTGTGAACCCAACCTGGAGGAGGGCTTCCTCTTAGAGATTCACAAAGATGGCATAGGTACCTTTAAATCAAATCAATTAAATAAAGTATTGGTGTCCGTCATGCTCAAGTGCTCAGACATTATCTGTTCTGAGTTTTTAACTTTTCCCACTTTTTATTAAACATTTACTATTTTGAAAATGTTGCAGACTACTGCTTTAAATGCACCAATGAATGTCATTGCTCTTGGTGCTGCAGGAGAGGGCAGTAAAATGGCAGATGCAACCACCATGCTGTCTATGTGTGACCCGGTTCACTTGGTCCTGATCAAGACGGACACCTCCAGTGAGACGACGCTGGTCTCATCCTACTTCCTGGACTGGAGGACAGTCCTCAGCTCGCCTAGTGGAAAGACCTGCTTTGCTGTAGAGCTGATGGGAGTTGGTGAGGAGGAGTGACTCTGCTGCAGTTAATATAAGAGTGATGCTATACACACAATTATACATTTTATTCTAGTATTTTTTAATGTATCTTCTCTACAGTTCAGAGCTAACAACTGTGAATGCATTCATTGGCAGAGTGGTTGCTTATTATGTCATACTTCCAGTGTAATGTAATCCAATCCAATTAGCTTGATCCGAAGTGTGACACCCTTAGCTAAGTCTTTGATCATTCACGTCACCGGGAGAAAAAATGAAATGACACTTGAATTTAAAAAAAAATAGTTACATAAGAAATAAAACAGGCTAGAGAGCTGCATCAACCATCAACATGTTGACGTTCTGACCAATGAGTACTCAGCAGTCATCACTACATTTTTACATGAGCACTCAGTACTTATGGGTCAGACCACACTCATCTTTGAACTCAGTCTTCATTTTGATCTCAACTACACAACTGTAAAGTTTCATGACTGCAACAACAACATCTTGTGGTTTTGATGCTATTCTCGTGACAGAATCTGTCCACAGACATATAAACACACACACACACACACACACAAGATGGAAACAATACCAGCCCCACTGTCATAGCTGGTAACTGGGAAGCATTTTCTGCTTTTAATGGTTTGACTAATCTGTTGAAGCATTCTCTTTGGGGCTGATCCTCCCGGCTACACTGAAAGCTTTTCATACTCAAAACATTTTTCCTCACAATGGTTAAACCTGTTAGGCTGTAAAACATTGGTTCCCAACCCGCCAGACTGCTGAAAATCAAAAAATGAAGCAGCTTCTGCTTCCAACTACTCCTCTCAGGAGGAATATTTGTATGAATTATGACTAGCTCAACCAAAGAGATTTCTTCATTGAATAATGTTGAATAATATTAGAGGTCAGAAGATGCAACTTTTTTGTAGTATTTTACAAGAGATGAGCAAAGATCAGAGAAAGTAATTATGAAATTATCTAAATTTGAGGAGAAAAACTGTAGTAGACTGAGTCTGTGTGTGTGTGTGTGTGTGTGTGTGTGTGTGTGTGTGTGTGTGTGTGTGTGTGTGTGTGTGTGTGTGTGTGTGTGTGTGTGTTTGTGTGTGTGTGTGTGTGTGAGACCAGGAAGTGAGTGTAAAGTCCCAGCAGGTGTTTTGACAGTCAGTCTGGAGCTCTACCCTCCTCTCACAGAGACTCTGAGCAGTGACATCATCAGCACACAGGTCAGCACACTGGAGTCTCTTTATCTCTGTCTGTAAGGTGCACTGTTTATTCATCTGCTTCATTATTCATGAATGAAATAAACCACTGTGAACTAATAGTGGCTCAGTTCAACAGAAAGCTGTTACGGATCAATATTCCTTGTTGATATGAATCATCATTGAACACGGAGCATCAAAGCTCTATATTTAGTGTAATGATGTTGCTGTGTGTTTCTCATTCAGCAATCACTGGAGAGGCAGAGGACGGCAGAGAAGGAGAGGCTCTTCTTGGTTTATGCCAAACAGTGGTGGAGGGAATTCCTGGAGATCCGACCGTCACATCAGTCCAAAATGGTCAAGATATTTGCTCAGGTTCATCTAAACTCTAAACCTTTACAGTATGTCACATAGTTTGTTTAAGTTTAAGGAAATTTCTCTAAAACCAGGCAGGTTTTCTATTTTCTATATTTTCTGTTTTTTTTTTTTTTTATAAACAATAAACCTGAGGAGTGAACACAGAGGGGAGGGTTACATGCACAGACACCGATGAGGGAGTTTTCCACAACAACTTCATTTTATTCGCATTTTGCCACTGACGCACTGGTTTAGTGTGTTAGTGGTTTGGGAGGAGGACATCTCATTTTCCTAACCAGTTTAAGGATTATTGAATCCTGAGCTCCTCAAATTCATATCTGGCTGCACGCTGTCCCTTTACCTCTGGGTGTGTGTGTGTGTCTGTGCATTATGCAGGATGAGAATGGCATCAGCAGACCAGTGTGTTCCTATGTGCGTGTCCTCCGGGCGGGCCGCCTGCTGGAGAGTCCTCGCCAGGCGGCCCGCTTCGTCAGCCTGCTGGCCCACGAGAAGGCCCCGGTGGTGGGAGGAGGAGGAAGCAAGCAGGAGCAGTGGTGCACGTTAATGGCTTTCCTGTGCAGAGGGAAGGTAAGGAGAATGGGCTTCAAAGGTTAATGCACTTACTGTGTTTATAGATCCTTACTGACAGAGATGGATACACTGGCAGTTTTACCGCTTCTCATATCAAAGTTCCTGTGAAGTCATATGTGTTTCATTAGAAATAAATCTGAAGTTTGTAAAATGTCATGTATTTTAGTAGCGCATTTACACATGAATTATGAATCCCACAGATCAAAGGATGTGGAAGGTCTTAATCTTTATCTTTACTGGAACTGAAATATAGTTTAGACCTGGTTAAGCCATATATTTTCTGGCCAGTCATGTTCAATGTTTCATAAAGTGTAGACTTTGTTATTGCTTTTTGTGATTTACTGTCTTGTTTGTGACATACTGTCTTTGAGTAAGTGCAGGGCAATCATCCAAACTCTCCATTTGGCATCTCTTTAATAGTCTTTGTGTTATTTCTAGTACAACCTTTGCTTTGCTCTGTATAAACACTTTGGACATAGCATTACAGTGCTGTAGTACTAATGAATAAATCTTTCCAAAGATAATAATATTACTATGACAGATGGAGATAACAGGATCTTAAAGTCGGCGATGATCAAAAGGGAAACAATCCTCCATTTAACCATTTTTATTACCATTTCCCTCCATTGTTTTCATGCACCGTGAAGCTTTTGTGAAGACGAACAAAACTGAATATTGAATTTAAAAATAATAAGGTCATATATTTTCAACCACATCACACCTACTGGAATATTTTCTCAGGTCAAATACAGATGAATAAAATCCAGCCTGGTGATGCCTCCACTGATCTTATCACAGGCCAATGACCTCTGAGTGTGACGTGGACATTTTTTCCAACCAACACTGAGACCTATTCTTGGATTCTCGCTCCACTGCAGCATGACAGAACCTCTCAGTGTCTAATATGACTCTGTAATAACCAAGGAATTTCAGATTCAAATTTATTGACTCGAGCATGTTTGACCTAGAGTACAAACTTAATATAGAATACAGTCATGACAAGACACCCAGCAGGAATGAAGACATTACTTTTTTTTACTTTTAATGATAAACAAAAATTGAAGACATTGTAACTTAGAAACCATAAAATTGAATAGACAGTTGACATAACATAGGACATGACATGGTGTATATAAAATAAGATTTAGGGGTGAAGATTGGATTATGTGGGGTATGCTGTGGGTAGTGTGTGTGTGTGTGCACGCCACATGACTTACTCAAGAAGGAATTTAATAAAGTATAAAACAAAATAACATTCACTACATAGATACATGGTTTGAATGATACTGTCCCTGTTACTTACTCTGCTTACGTTCTTACACTCAAACAAACTGGATACTCGTCTCCGGACAGTTATCACTGCAAAGGTTGCAGACTGTTTAATTCTTGTTCAAGTCATTGTATCTTCCTAAACCTGAGGTTACAAAGACTGTCTGTCTTTTTCTTCATACAATCGATACTTTACAATTTAAACCTGTTTAAATCTTACATAAAATCACACTCCTGTATCATAGCTGCTTTTCCTATTTTCTTTGCTTTTGTGTTTTTAGCTAATACTAGCTGTGTCCCTTTTATTTGTCGTCTCTTTAAGATGATTGTATGTACCTCTCTATATGATAGCTGCGTGAAAGAACCAGAAATCACTAGTAGGGATGCCCCGATCATGTTTTTTTGCCACCGATACCTGTCATCTGTGAGTGAGATTGGCCGATCCACATCCGATACCAGTTATTGTTTGTGTTCTGTTATAGCAGCTGGTTTAGCGTTGGTCAGCCTGCTTAGTTTTGTAGTGTACTGGGACTTCCAACAGGCGGCAGCCTAACCTGATAAAAGGACCACAAACAGTAGTACAAAAAACTCCAAGCAAAGCAACAAGTATCCTACATTAAGGACAACTGAATTACACAATTTAATAATTCATTAATTTATATTTATATTTATATAAAGGTTATTAAGCCTATTCAATACACTAAACAGTGCAAGTAGTGCAAACTAAAGAGTAGAACTAACGAAAATAGAACTAACTGCATTCAAATTGTAGGTATTTTACCGTGGCATTAATTGCAGATGAGTCTCACACTGTAAAGGTTCCACACGGCAGACATGTTGTTTTGTTTTGGCGGCCTGTGGCGTGCCGGGAGGCGGGACTACACTACACAACACACAGTGCTTCTCCCAGCCGCAGACATCAGAGTATTAACCACAGGTGATCGGTTTTAGGGTGATTGGTGACTAGAAGCATTAATTCCGATCTACCCATCATGCATTTTTTAATGAAAATCGGCCGATTATGATTGGCAGCTGATCAATCGGGTCATCACTAATTTAAAGTAAAGTGGATGCATTTGAAGTTCATGCAATTGTGTTCTTAAAACAGTTGGCAGAAATGCATCAAATTAATGAAGCTAAACTGTAATTCTGTTTCCCTCAAATCAATCTCAGTCTGGCCCTTCTGACTATCATGTGTGTTTTGAATTAATGTCACATGTTTCTGTTGCCCTAAATATATAGTTTGGTTCAATAAGTCAGGAAGCGCCACATAAACTTGGTCCAGCGGCGTTTACACTCACTCCATTTCTGAGCACAGCCGATTGTGTCATTTCTGAGAAAGTGGGATTCGTTCCAAGTTGACTGACTGATGCATTTTCATCTCTCGACTAGATAGCGTGGAATTTCCCAGACCACCACAGGATAAATGTTTCCTGCCTCTCCTCTGTGAGCGGCTGGCAAGACAGACAAGACACCACTCTCACAAAGTGGCCCTTGTCAGCTGTGATTTATGAGTTTCATTCCAGGGAAAATTAATTTAGCCTCATCAGTCCCCAGCCTGTTCTGATGCTGCCGTCCATATTAGCACTTCTGGGGAACATCTATCATTCTGACTTGCCTGTAGCTCGAGCCATCACGCAGCAGCAGCAGCAGCAGCAGCAGTAGCAGTAGTAGCAGCAGTAGTAATAGTCGCAGTCCCTTCTCAATCCAGGCCTCTTCAACGGAAGAAGAAAAGTCAAATAAAAGCTGACAATTTAAAAAAGGGACAATTTGATAACTACAGAGCTTATTTCCCGTCCAGGAAACTTTTCTTGTGGGTTCAACACTTCTGAGAAAGACAAACAGTGCATAGAGAACAACTCGGTGCCGTTACAGTGTGAATATTTCTCCAAAGATCTTTTTATTGAATTTTGAACAAATGGACAGAGTGCACGTTTGTATAGTGCACAATGGGTGTGTCAGTGTAGGACTGAATTACTAAAACACCAGTAAGTTTGTTAACGTGTTTGTACTGTGTAGCATATATACATGACAAAGCAGAAGGTGTCTGTATTAAAGGAGCACAACATGTAACTTTATCTCCTTCACCCCTCACCAGCTCCAGCTCCTTATATAACCCAGAATTCCTTATATAAAAAGGTACTTCACCCCTGGAGTACAACAGAGAGCTGCTGGAAGTCAGGCTTTTCATTTAGAGAAGAAAGAAAGAGAGAGGAAATAAATAAATAACAAATGAGGGGTTTAGAGATGGATAAGCTTCTATAGACTGTATTACTGACAAAAATCAAGTGAAAGACAGAAAAACAAAAAGTTAGACTGAAGATTTTGAAAGTATTCTAGGAAAGGTCCCCACACCTTCAGGAACATTTTGTTTGAGTTAGAAACTGAATAGTGGATCTTTTCAAGGCTTAGACAGGACATAATGTCCCCCAGCCATTTCACAGTATAAATTATGAATTTGTCCTGCAACCGACTTTATAAACTTGAACTATTTTAAGCTGCAAGTCATAATATTTCCAGGAAAAATGATAATATTTTCAGAAAAAATTGTGATATTTAGAAAATAAAGTTGTAATATTTTAAGTCATAAAACCTCTTGAAATAAATCATAATATTTCAAAGTAAAAGTTCCAGTATTTCAAGGAAAAAGCTTTAATATTTTGAGACTAATTCAAAATATTTTAAGATAGTGGTAATTTGATATTAAGGCCCTAATATTTTAAGATTTTAATATTCCACCTAACGTCTTTGCTCTGTACCCAGCCTTCATGAAAAACAAAGATTGTCACTGAGCTTGTAAGATAATTCTTGACCTTTTGGAACACTGTGTAACAAAATATCAGCTAATAGTTTAATATTAAAGCTTATGGGGCGTTCAGCTGGAACTCAAAGTGTCCCCCACTGAATGGAGAAGCTCAAGAGGCTTAAGAGGTTTCACCAGGATTAAAAGAATCTGTTGCAACTTTGCAGCTTCAGAGACACATGACCTAAAATGAACCACAAAATAATCCTGTGCAGCAAAGCTAAAATAAAAAAAAATAAAAAAAAGGTTAGTATAGGTTGTATCAGTCCTGATTAATGTTCCAAACACATGGTTAACATACTGTTGATACTACAGTTTCCACATTTCAAACTGAGCACTGTGTGTCCTCCTCAGGGAGACTGTGAAGACCACGCCACCCTGCTGTGCAGCCTCCTGCTGGGCTTTGGCCTGGATGCATATGTGTGTGTGGGCACCAAAGCCAAGGGTGTGCCACACACCTGGGTCCTGACCCGCGGCACTGATGGGAGCATTACATTCTGGGAGAGCCTGGCTGCACACAGGTCTGACTTTTTTTTTTTCTTATTATACGGTTACCTCTCCCCTGTCACTCCGGCATCAAACTACAGCTTCTACAGTGGTGCTCTCAGTGTAGTTACAACATGTTGGACCTGTGCAGCAATGCAGCATATTGTAGATATTCTGCAATGGGTACTTTTAACATTGTAGCAGGAGAAAGGTTGTATTTCATAGATATTTTATACATAAATCTCCTCAAAATTTTCTGCTAGTTTACCTGTAACTGCTGCAGCCAAACGAAATCATTTGAACTACACAGAGTTTTTTTGTTTTCGCCTCACTTTGCCTCATTAGACAGTCTTTGTGTGTTTATCAGCAGGAGATCTCAGAATGGATTTCCATGAAATTTGGAGGCCAGGCTTTGGGCCAAGGAACAATTGATTATATTCTGGTGTTTATCCAATTCTGGGATTTTGTCCATTAATTATTGTCGTTTTAGCCAAAAAAAATAAGAGCTGATTTCATATTGAATGAGTTTGTGAAGTTACAGTAAGTAACGGAAATTAGGACCTTTGTATGTGTTGTTGTTATTGTTTGAAGTAGTGTGTTTATGTGTTTTGTAAGAGTATATACTCAAGATATTTCACTCTCAATATTTGTGTCTGCATTTGACATTTTTTTTTGTCCAAGAATTTTGACCTTTGTGCGTTTTTTATTTATTTATTTATTTTTTATATTTTTATTTCACAGTTGTAATTTCATTTGAATCTGTTTGTAGCAGATTGTGAAACGATGCATTTGAAACTGTGCATCATGTTCCATTTTTATCATATAAACCATTTTGTTTGTAAGTTTGTGCCTCCTGTTCCTCATGTGTGCTCAGATACCTCCACAAGGCCATAGACCCAGATGCCCCGCCCCTGGCCCCCCAGCCCAAACACTCGTCCCCCTACCGCACTGTGGGCTGCGTCTTCAACCACCAGACCTTCTTGGCCAACTGCCAGCCATCCGATGCTGTGGAGATTTGTGTCTTTGACTTCCAGGTAGGAGCAGTTACCCCCACCTTCATCACTTAACAGGTGAAGTGGGAAACATCACTCTCATATACATCATGGTCCACTGTTGCACTTAGTGCCACTGAAATATCATCGTGTTGTTCACATTTGCTTCATTGGTAGGTTTTGTGTGAATAGTAATTTTCGGGGTTTGGTGAAATGAGTTTCTTCATTTATGCTGCTAATCAGATCGGCCAGAGAAGATCTAATAGAATCCATGCTGAGCAAACATGTGCCTGTCTCTCCCTCAGAATCAGTCTCGGTGGAAGGCGATGAGTGAAGAGGCTCTGAAGTCTGTGTGTGCCCCAGGCTCTATCACCTCTTTGCCCCTTCTGCCTCCGCTCTGTGCCCCATCTCTGGATCCTGCTGCGTCCAGCAACCAGCTGGAGCTGGAGATGCGCTACCTGGTTTCTGAGCACAGGAAGGTAAAACCCTGCTGGATATGGATACCTGAAGCTTTAGCTGATTCATAACTCGCCTGTGCTGTGTTGTGCTCGGGAAGCTGATGATAGCTATAGGGTTAACAGTTATTTACATTTATGTTTACGTAATTTACCTTTAACTGATTGTTATACTATAATCTAAATTGTATTTGACAAATTCAGTTATATGTATATATATATATATATATATATATACATGTTTATATTTTCATACAAACCTGGGTGTGGCTAGAAACCACTGGGAGGAAGTGACCACAGTTTTTGATGAACTAATCATTTAAGTGCCATTGGCTAATTACAGCTAAGGTGCTGTGTCTTGATATGCAATGTAAGAATCACTAACCACAGTGTGGGCTCTGTGCCGGTCTGGCCTCCAGGATCTGGATCTGGCAACAGTCTGGGACGACCACTTGTCCTACCTGCTCTCCTCCGCCTTATCAGCCTATGAGCTGGAGCGCTGCACCGGGGTGTCCTGTGGCAACGAGGAGTTCCAGGACGCAGTGAGGAGGGCAGTGCCAGACGGACACACCTTCAAGGGCTTCCCCATACACTTCTTACACCGCAGTGCTCGCAGAGCCTTTGCCACCTGCCTCAAGTGAGATACTTTTTTGATTATACTATGGGTAGCAGTGAATGTGTGTGGTTATAAAAATCCCTTGACCTGTTACTGGGGGGATGAACTGCATGTTGGCAGGCATGTCCTTGAGTACTGCAGCTGTATACTCCAAATAAAATCCAACCACACACTCTGTATGGAGGGGAATCTCACTACAGGGACCAGAGAATATGTCGGTCTTTGTAGGTGTTTTCAGAACATCACAAAGCAACAGTAATTAAACACATCCTCACATGTCCATGTTCAGCACGATTCAGTCTCTCTGAAAATTCAGCCAGAACTGAACACGCCGTTTGTCCTGAGCTGCTGGCAGATTACATATGAGTAACATTACAGATTGAAATCTGGCTCAAAAGACACACCATCTGTCTCCTGCCTTCATCATGTGTAACTACATAGTTTATCTATGAAAGGGTTCATGAACACACAGCCATCAGTTTTGGCTCTCAGTTTGTCAAGCGTTGCCATTACGTAAAAAGAATCTTCCCTACTTATATTTCTTATTATATATTTCTTATATTTGTTATTATTTTATCAAAGACTTTTCAGCTCTCCATATTTCTTATTCTGTGTCTCATGTCACTTTCTGTGCAGGTCTCCATTCTGCCAGGAAATAGTTTGTTGTCGTGGCGACCATGTAAGGCTGGCAGTCCGAGTCCGGGTGTTTGTGTATCCAGAGAATGCGTGTGCAGTGTGGCTCATGTTTGCATGTAAATATCGCTCTGTACTCTGAGCTACAGAGAGATGGTAGCTACCAGCTAATGTTGCCCATCGGCAGGCGTGTTTTTATAATATATATTTGTGCACACACTTTGCATTAGAAAACCTGCATCCATGATAAGACTGTTGTTTTTAGTGATAGAGACATTTTTAACAGATGTTTGTGACTTTTATCTCTACTCTGGTGCTTAGACCTTTATTTTGTAGTCCGGTAGACTCATCATTTGTACAGACTTTTACGATCAGATTTGTATTTATATATCTATTTTTGAAAATAAATTGAACTTTTGTTATGATGTACATTTTAGAGACCTAATTGAAGACATCTATTCTTTTTTGCTTTCATGAATATTATCAGGAAACAGGAACAGGAAAGTTTTTTTTTAATTGCATTTTAGTTTTAAATATTAAAAATTCAGTGCACATTACAGTATTTCACTATTGTCCCGGCTCGGTTTTCACTACGGTTTCAACAAACTCAAAACACTTTCACCCAGAAATCTCACATAGCCACAAAAAAACGTAAAGAATCTGTATTAAATTAGGTAGAACATGATGCAGAGGGTTTATTAGCATCACAACAGTGTATATGTTCTCTTAATGATGATTTTTATCATTGTTGCATTTGAAAATTTCACAGTCATAATGACATAAATAATCCTGTCAAACAGTCACTATCTCACATCACAACAGCCAGCGGTCATTTCATCAGTATTATACAGATGACAAGTAGAAAAAAATTAAAACTGAACTTTAATTTTAGCTATTGAATTTGCTGCAATACTGTAACTATATATACAGTATATGTATAATATATGAAATATTTAGAGTTAGATTTTTTTAATAATTTGTAGTTGAATAACAGGCACCTAAAATGCACTGCCTGTGTTCTGAGGATTCCTGTGATGTAAATTACAATGAGACTGTAATAGTAGACAATAAACCGCAATATAATTTCAGTACATTGTAACATTTTGATAGTAATCGCAAGGCAATTAATTGCATTTCTTTTTCTTTTTTGTTTGCCTCATATGAGAAATATATGATATAAGTAATCCTGTTTAATTGCTGCTCTCTTAAGTTATTGTTGTGTAAATAAGGAGAAATGCTTCGAACAAACTCAGGCTTATATGAGTTGATTGTGTTCCATGGACTGAGCAAGTGATTTTGGTGTTTTATATGTAAGAGCAGCATTTTGTTGTTAAAGGTTTTGTGTTGTGAATTTTGCACAGAGAAACTGTTTAAAAACTGAGCCAAAGTGAACATTAATACTGTTCATGAATATTCATTTGTAATACATTAACACAACACTAGATGGCGATTTAAGACTAATGTTGACACAGCGAACAGCAGCCGCCTGGCCTGCCGCATACAAAACAGTAGAGCCTTTTGCTTATAGCTCTTAAGAGCATCTTTAAATGCAGAATGAAGGATGTGACTGTGGTCACTTCACTGATCCGTTCCAGAAATCGCTGTCTGATAAAACATGATAAAATCAGCAGGTGTATATTTAATCAGTAGAGATGTATAAATCTGGAATAGCCATTAACAAACCTCCACTGTAGAACTAAAGGATGAAATTTAATTCCACTAATGTTGCAAAAATATTAAAGCTATTTTTCACCTTCTGAAAGTGAGGAGAAACCACGGCACGGCCGTTCTTCTGGCTTGAGAGCCACTGAAATCCCACAGGCGAGTGTTGACTTCTAATTTGAGACTGGCTGATTGTGAAATTGCAGAGAAGGTGAAGTGACAGCTGCCTGGTTGAGCGAGTTATTGTGCTGTTAGGTGAAGTCAGCTCAGAAAGTTTTGCCCTGATTGAAGTGCTCTATTAATTGACACGCAGAGGGTAGTTTTGTTTTTGTGGAGTGCTTCGCTCTGTTCCTTTTTTTCCCCCGCACTCTGTGCCATATTGCACAGTGCTGTTTTGAGTTCTGGGGGAATCGTTGACACATCAGCCCAAACTTTGACTAGAAGCCTGAGAGGATGGCCAATTAATTCGATTTTTCCGGGAGCTAATTTGCAATTCTGCATTTGCCCCAGAGTTGTTGAACACGAGGATCAGGAGGGAGGCTGGAAGAGTGAAATAGAGAGCTAATGAATAATTCCTCCCTTTTCTCTGAATGTCACACACACACACACACGCACACACACCTTCGCTCCGCTCATTACCGTACACCACAGAAAAAATGTACAGCAAAGGAAGTGTTTGATGCTGGGAACTCAGGTATGTTTTCAGCCCATATTAAACAGCAGCGCTCAGGTGTAATTGACTAATAGGCCCTGTGGGACAGGAGCTACTATATAAAGCAGAAAGAGAGGAAAGGGGATGCTGGTTTCTAGCAAAACTGGGTGTAACAAAACCATCACTCACACCTTGAATCTCATCACTACCGCTGATGTGAGTGTTTGCATTCAGGGGAGAAAATTTCTGTAGAAGTTTCTGTTGGTGCTGTGTGTGAGCATCAACTTTGGTATCATGTGTGAGTGTAGAGAGGATGTACATTTTCTTTTAGTTTAAACAAAACAATGAATTGATTATGTAAAGCGACTGAAAGATCAGTTTCACAGTATAAATGGCTCTGCAGCCTGTACGTTGGTAATGGTAATAAACTGGATAGAGATAGAACGAACCTGCAGGTGGAAATTATGTTTGAATTATCGTGCGTGCTCTATTTTTCACACATATATTTGTCTTTCTCTTTCCACGGTGGCATAAGCTGCTAATGAGTCTTTTCCATCTATAAACAATTCACCTGCAGTTCACAAGTATTGTCAATAACTGTATCATCAGTTGTAATGGTGTTGATTGGGAGAAATATATTTCAGCTCGCAGCCATCTTTAGCACATTATCGTGGGATGTTTGTTTATTATGCCTTGCAGTTAAATACTATTTTTGACAAGTCATTGAGAAAAAATGGATGTTAGAAAAAAATAAATATTTTTAATAATTGGAAAAATACTAACTTGGAAAAAAAAAAAATCTCCACCATCACACCACACTTAATATTTTCATATTGGAAAATAAGTACTAAAGTTGCATAGTGATGTAGCACCTTACTTGTCTGATGTCCCAAAATTCCTTGCTGCACACTTGGGCTGCTCCTCACTCTGTTTTCACAACTAGCAATGAGTAAAAAGATTTTTGCTTTTGCATGTCTAGGTAAAAGGTAAAGGTCCATTAGTTTCATGACTTATGGGCTCACTATAATACTCTAATACTAATAGTTTTGCACATCAGCATGAAGTTACATTTGGTTTTCACAAGAATATGAAGTATATGTGACCTGCACTTGCAAACCCAGCTAGGTTTCAATAATCACTGTAAGGTTCAGTGGCATGCGGTGACTTTTATACACAGGCATGCAGGGCCGGAGAGCCAGCAACACCTCTCTGCACTCCTTCCTGGCTGGAGCATTGGGATTACTCCTTTCAACTGACAGTAAACATATCAAATGTGCACTATAGAGGAAAAATATCTTAAAAAAAAAAACAAAAAAAAAAACATTTCCATGGTAATCTTCAAAATATTTCCCATTAACTGACAATGACACACTCAGTGCAGAATCCTGCATTTTCCTGCATCAGTATGCTTCTCAAACTTCCTGCAGATCTTGAACAGAGAACACTACTTATGTTTAACAGAGAGAAAAATATTCATGTGACAACTAAAAAGCAGAACAGAATTAGAAGGCTTGGGTATAACATTACATGGTTAACTGTAAATATGTAAATTAATATGTGATTTTTTAAAGTATTTTGAGTATTAAATGTGTTATTACCAGTTATTAATGATTGTATTGAGGATGTCTATTGTTGATTTAATAATTTTTACATGTGTGAGATGTATTAAAAGAGGAAGGTGCACTGAGAGTGAACATGCACAGGGCCCAGATTTTGCTCAAACCTCCTCCTTCTTTTTCTGAAATAAGTCTATGGCCAATCATTTCAAGTTTCAATCCTTTTTTACATTTACATTACAAGTTTTGTCCCAAAATTAATAAGTGCGTATAAACTCAACACAGCCACACTGACCACCTCATTATTCTTTCCAGGAAATTATTAGGAAATTGCAGACATCTAAATAAGGTGTTGGTTTAATTGCCAGCTTGAATGTCAAAGCCTACTCCACACTGATGGGAATTTAATTCTGATTAACAGAAGCCAAAAATGAATCATGATTCTAAGAAAACTGTTTTCAGCCTAAAACGTTAATAGCCACTTTCTGTGGTGTGGTTCTATGTATGGCAATGTTGGTCATTGGTCCAACATCTTTGGTCCAGACTGAAACAGCTGCCGGATGGAAAGCTGTGACATCCATTCATTGTGCCCAGATAATGAATCATCTCCATTTAGGTTTTAGGTTTTATACCTGCAAAGCTAATCACATTCATATCAGCCTCAGCTGTACATTGCGTTTAGCACATATTAGCAATTGTTAGCATGCTGCCAAACATACCAAACTAGGAAAGAGAACATGGTAAATATTATATCTGATTAACATTAGTATTGTCATTATGAACAGATTAACATGCTTACACTAGCAATTAGCTCTACGTACAGCACCAACCACAGAGCTGCTAGCATGGCTGCAGACCCTTAGTCTTGTTTCCTCAGTGGTTGCTACCTGCTTTAGATTAATCCGTCTTCTTTGCCTTGGAGTTCTGCTAAGAAACAGTCAGACTGCAGGTGTGATCATAGGAAGGACAACAATACAAATGCATGTATGCTTTTCATGCGTTTCTTTGCCTGCTAATTATTTCTAATATTCTTCATCCCCGGGAGTCACAAGACGAAAAGCTTGTCTCCACACACAGAGTGCAGGTGTAGCCACCGAGCTTTGCTGTTTCCTCTGGTCACAGCAATAAGAAGTGAGTTTCCATGGCTGGTCTCCTACATGTAGAACCACCTTATTATTTTGTTGTCACTTAATTCAATGTATAGGCCCTGGGCTCTGTTAGAGTTTGTCAAGTAAATGAGAGGACTAATGTCGCGTCTCCTCATCAGTGGTGATTTACAATCGTGGTAATATGTACACTGACAGACACTGATGTATCAACTAATTACTGTATTTCAGCCATATAAAAAAGTGTTTAGATGTTTAGCTCTGCACCAATTTCCATCGTGTGTGTGTGTGTGTGTGTGTATGTGTGTGTGTGAATGTGAATTTTGTCATTTGCCGTCTCACAGACACAGTTACTAATTCATTACATATTTAAAT